GTTTGTATGAAAAAGCTGTTAGGTACGATCTGGCAACAGATATGAAGCAGGTCATAAAACCTGAATTGACTGGACCATTGGGTGCTCGTCTTTTCGACAAAGCAATTATGTACAAATCAACATCTATGTATGCTATACAACCCATGTAGCCTGTATGGAACTTATTTACTTAATATGATCATGAGCTCACCCATTTTTTGATTTAACTCTTTTATAATTTATTTACAGGGCAGAGCCAGTTTATTTGGAATTTCCTGAGTTCAAAGGCAATTCTCGCCGGGACTATTGGTTGGATATTTGTCTTGAGATCTTGCGTGCACACAGGTTTATTCGGAAAAACAATTTTAAAGAGACTAAGAAATCAGAAGTAATGGCAAGAGCTATTCTAGGCATTTGTCGATATCGTGCAGTTAGAGAAGCCTTCCACTTCTTTTCATCCCATTATAAAACCTTACTTGCTTTTAACCTTGCTGAAAGTCTTCCAGGGGGCGACTTGATTTTAAAAACTTTGTCAAGTCGGTTGGCTCTTTTGAATTCCAGTGCTTCCCAACATGATGTTTCTGGGAGTCCTTATGCAAAACGGCAGCCAAAACTTTCTCCAGTTTCACTTATAGCACTTACTCAACTTGGCTTTATATTAGAAAAAGAAGGAAACCTTGAGGGAGAAGCAATAATAGTAGGAGATGTTTGTGTTGGTGAGATTAATCCCTTGGAAATGGCAGTAAAACAGTCACTACTGGACACAGGGAGGGCTGAAGCTGCACAGGCAACTGTGGAACAGGTGAAGGTGGATGGGATTGATACAAATGTTGCTATAATGAAGGTGGGTTTTCAGTTTCACATGTTAAATTTGGTTTTCAAAGCCAATGTAACTCTTACCATTCTTTCAATTAGTAATAATAATATTAGGGAGAAACAAAAAGAGCATAGAAATCTATAAAAGTGCCTTTTAAGGATGAATCTGTTTATATTGCTTCTAGTTTGTGAGACATATTATATTTATTTTGCTCTTAATAGATGGGGAAGGATGAAGGAATTTTTCCTTCTTCAGGCTCGGAGCTGCTAAATCTGATCTTGAACAGGTGATAAGTGTATTGTGCTCAACCAAAGAATAGAAAAGTCCATTGAACCAGTGCAGTACTTCGAGCAAGCTGTATTGATGCAAAAACAGCTTCTTATGGCTAAATTCTCTGATATCTTTTCGTTATACTTGGTTGTTTGTTTCTGCTTTAATAGAACCCCATATTATAATGTGGATAGAGACAAGATGGACTTAAACAGATTATATGCAGTCGCTAAGTTTTTGTTTCCCCCGGTAGTTTTTATTTCTTTAAAAGTGCATGGCTTCATGATTTTGTTATTTTTTGAAAATATAAGGTTTGTAGAGCTTACTCGTTTAGTTCTCTACGTTTTTATGTATAAAAATGATTGGCTTTTACTTGTAGGAACTATTGTTTCCAGTTATTGAAGTAGCTACCCGTGTTCAACTTTTGGCATCATGGGAACACCCTTGTAAATCAACGGCATTTCTGATGTTCACATGCTACTCTATACTAAGGTAACTTGTTGAGTGGAGTTTTCCATGCCTGGCCCCAAGAGTATTAATAATTTTCCACTGTCCTTTACTGGGAAAATACTCCTCTCCATTTGCAACAGAGAGCTGGCTGTTAAACCTGGACTGCCAGAGCTTTGGTCCCCACGTGGACTTTGCAGTCTGGGCTTAAGTTGCCCTCTCAGTTTAGTGCTGGAAATATAGAGGAGTTGAGTTCCCCTATTAATTGCTTGAGAACAATTCTACTTTATAACTGCATGGTCCTCTCAATTTGGTGCTGCAAATGGAGAAGAGCTGAGATTACCCTATTGATGGTGTTTGGTGTTAATCTGCTACTCTATGTTAAGGTAACTTGTCTGTGACTGGAGTTTCCATGCCTGGTGCCAAGAGTATTAGTAATTTCTTCACTTACCCTACTGGGCTGGCTGTTAATCTGGACTTGTAGAGCATGGGGCCCCTTATATTGAGTTGAGTGTATGCTCCATGTGGACTTTATAGTTCACTGGCCCTGTCAATTTGGTGGTGCAAATTGAGAGCCTATTGAAGGCTTCTGATAAAATCTTTTCTATTAATGCTATCATTTATGAGTAGGGTGTGCCTAATGCACCAATCTAATCAAGACAATGGTTATGTCTGACTTACTTATTCAGTTTGAAACTTTTTAGTTTTCTTTCAAATTTTATTATGATGTTCCAGTGCCAGGACCAGGAAAAATTTCTCACAGGTCTTTAGTCCTTTTTCTGAATGGCTGTAATTAGCTGAGTAACAATGAAGTTATCCTTGTAATTGGATTTACTGTAATCAGTTTGGCAGAGATTGAATGTCTGCCTTTTCGTGTAAGTATGATTTCAACAAATCGCCTTCATTTTAGCAGACTAATTTTAGATATTTCACCAGTGGATTATGATTATAGACCATCAGCTGAAAGAAGTCTCCCAGAGGGTTTAAATTGGAAACAGAAAATGCCCGGGCCATTTGAAATTATAAGAAAATGCAACTCAATATGATATGTGCACTCTCTGGTATTAATTCCTGTTTTCTCTTAAACAAACTCTATCCCTCTGCCTGAGAATGAAGGTTTTGTGGCCAAAGTTTCTTTTTCATGCTGCAAAAGCAACATAATTATGACATTTGGCATCACCAGTCAATATGTCAAAGACAGCTGGTTTTAGGGCATTATCGATAAGCAAGCTAAAGTGTCCATGGTAATCATGAATAATGTGACTTAAGTGTCTGGTCACCTATGTTCAGGACTATGATATTCTTGCTTCCTTTGAAGGTCAGAGAAGCCCTACTGTTGGATAACTGGGTATGTAGATCACCATGGCATACCTATAACCCAGCCACTGGACCATGATCCTTGGTGCCATTCCAACAGTCAGCAATAACTTTTGCTGTCTTCCCCCATTGATGGGAAAGATGCCTTCCTCTCCCCAAAGAAATGATCAAATGATCTTCTCTTTGGTGGAAACTTACTGAAACATTACTTGGGTCCGAAGTAGGGGACACACATCATATGAGGGTCATGTGGGTGTGGCCCAAGCATTACACTTTCCCTTTGATTTTGACACTTGGGATGTCTCTTTTGAACTATCAAGTGTTCTTTTTTTGCATTCTAGTTAAGATGGGTTTCTTTGTTTTTTCTTTCTGGTATATATCATCATCCCATCATGATTGACCTGTAAACTTTGAGTACTTGTCTTGCTATGTCTTCCACATTTCTCAAGCCAAAACATTAGCAATATTTCCCTTTTTTTTTTCTTTTTTAAATATTAGCTTTAGCTTGGATGGACAGAAGTAATTTTATGTTGATTTTGATGTACAGGGGTTGGATCGGATATATATTGCCATCAATTTTTGTATTCGTCGCAGTTCTCATGCTCTGGTGCAGGCATTTTAACAAAGGGAGACCATTAGAACCATTCAAAATAACACCTCCCCATAACCGAAATGCAGTAGAGCAGCTGCTGACATTGCAAGAAGCCATCACTCAAGTTGAAGCATTACTTCGAGCTGGGAATATTGTTCTCCTGAAGCTAAGAGCTCTCCTGTTTGCGGTTCTTCCACAGGTATGTTTCACAGCGATGCCAATTTGCCATTAGGCAAAACTTGTAACAATAGGATACAAATAATTCTAAGTGCATTTAGTGGGAGAATTTGGAGCCAGTTTAACTTTTTTCCCCTGGCCATAAGAAGCAATATCACAGGTATTGGGGGTGCGATAAGTTTATAATAGTTTTCTAGTTTCCTCATTACAAGTGTCTTTACTAGGTACCTAGTTCTCTTGAAACTTCAGTTCTAGGAGGCCCTTGAAAGGCCTTTCCCTCTGCAGGCAAGTCGTGAGGCAAAAAGACAACTTGTCCTTAGCTGGACAGAACTGATAGTTGGATGTTTGTTTCGGACCCTAAAATAACTCCACATGGTTTTAGTAAAATTCATGAAAAAAGATATATTAAGAAAACTGCATCCTAAGTTCTCTGTGTGCAGCTCTCATAATTTTGTAGTATAGATTGAATTGTCGGTATTTACAATAGGTTGCACCAACAGATTGAACTTGAAATAAGATCGGTCATTTGAATTTAAATTTCTATTAGGAGTTGCTTTACGCTCTCCCACCAATGTGTTACATATTCAAAATTGATCTTTCTGCAGGCAACGGACAGAATTGTTTTACTGCTGGTTGTCATGGCAGCAGTGTTTGCATTTGTGCCTCTGAGATATATAATCCTGGTAGTATTTGTAGAGGCTTTTACAAGGGAAATGCCATATAGAAAAGAAAGTAGTGACAGGTGGGTGAGGCGAATTAGAGAATGGTGGGTCAGGATACCAGCAGCTCCCGTTCAACTCGTTAAACCTGATGATAACAAGAAAAAGAAATCATAAACATTGTGTACCATGCTATCAAATTGAATCTATTTCCATTCCATTTAAATTTGTGCTGGCTCCCTTTTGTATATATACGAGTTGTGGTTTTCCAGAACTTTTTTTTTTTGGGAAAATACTTTCATACATCCAGCAGGAAGATAAATTTACTTGTTTTTAATTCCTTTTAATTAATTAATTAATTAATATAATAGAATTGATGCAAAGGTCAATTTATGATGTAAATGATATCAAACCATTCGAATTTCATTGCTTAAAAGCGATGTGTCCCCTATCTGTCATAAAGTATTTAACCAAGCTAATAATTATTTCGAGATCAACTATGATGACAAAGAACTGTGCTGCTCGAAGTTCGATACTATTTTTTTTTGAAAAGAAACAGTATTATTCAAATAGGATAGAGCGAAAAACACGAGATGGCCAAGGAGGCCATCTTACAAAACAGAAAGAAAAAGCTCTGCACTACAACACGAAGTTCGATACTATTACGAGAGAGGACAGAAAAAGAGTTGAGACATTAGCTCCAGCTTAATCAACGTTTGCGTGCATGGAATTGGAATATATATGATTGAAACGAAATATATTTGATTGCTTTTATCAGCAATGGCTCAACCTTATGCTGTTGAATACAACTCTATGAACTCCGAAATAATCTTGGATTGGAACTATACTTCAGATTTTTAGGGTTAACACTCAAGAATCAAAAAGAAAAAGGTAAATCCCTGTACAAAACCTAAAATATGAAAAGCCGGGGGTGGGCAAAGACAGTGTGAATAGAAATTATGCCATTCCTACATCAAACGTTATCCGGCCAAAACTCCCTATAAAAGGCACGCTCAAATTCCCTCTCCTGCAATCTTTTCTCTAACTCCTGCTCTTTCTTCATCTTCTTTGAGAGTCCCTTGCCTTTTTTTGAATGCAGCTCCTAAAAACCAACAGCATGGTTATATATAACTGATATATGCAGGTTAGTCATATCATAGATATCGACAGTTAATATTTATAATATTGGTAGAAATGTCAATATTGAGGACAACAATGGTAAAATTAAACCGCGGTAGTTAATATTAAAGCATAATTTTGTATGAAATTCGGCTACTTCTAAACCAATCAATAATGCATCAATTAAACATGTAAACTTCTTATAGTATATCCATGATAAGTATGATACACAGGATCAAATCAAAATGGTGCAGGTCACTGCCAGCATCCAAAAACATCTTAGTACATTAAGCATGATCCCGTATAAGCAGTAAAATGGGTAAATTTATTTTCTTAGACAACACAAACACATTATGAAAATTTATAATAACTTGTGTAAATGTTCATAGCTAGCCTTCTTACTACCAAATTCGTTAATTAGATTAAATTAACATGAACAGTAACCACCACACACACACACAAACATACACAAATGTTAACAGTTCACACTAGCGCTAAAATCATCAACCTCTCAGTAATATATCGCCATGATGTAGGTGATATCGTTCCACGGCACATCGAAAATGGTACTTGATTTCCCTTTTTACCACAAAAAGAAAGAAAAAAAGGAACGAACCTAATTTATTTATTTTTTTGTATTTAGAAAAAGCAAAAAATTAGCAGTCCGATAGTGTAGCCAGTTCAAATGGTCAACTTAATTTCTCTCTTCCTTCTATGTATGTATTGTCTAAATCATTGATCCAACAACATGGCATAAGCAAAAAACCAAAGACCTCACTTTTCTCTTTCACTAATTCTAAAAAGAGCTTTTCTTATTGATCAAATTCCATTCCCTCAGACTTCTAATGTGCTCAGCAGAAGATGAGTTCATAAACAACATCCAACAATATTTACAGCCCCTTACATGGTCAAACATATATTTTCCAAAAGAAGCTCCATCATCTATAAGTCCCATGCTCAGACTAATAACATGATTATCAATTTATTTATAGCTTCAATATCACTTCATATTTTTCTAATTATCTTCATTGATTGGAAAAGAGGAAAAACCAAACAAGAAAGAATTGGGTTTTTGAATTATTACTATACATGCAAATGAACTCACCTGGTCATTTTTTCGATTCAAGGCAGTAGAATCAGGGGGATTTAGTGCCTTCTGTAATTTATCTGCTCCCAGGCCCCGTTTATTATTCTTCAAGTATGCTTGTACAGGCTCTATCCTTCCCTGTTACATAAACATCTCTCAACAGAATTGACATATTTAATCATTAACAAACAAACAGTCATTTTCAGCCAACTTGAGAAAGAAATCCATGCAAATAAAGAGATTATGTGTCAATTTTATAACTGCTCAGAACACTCTACATTCATGGTCAGGAATCCAGGAAAAAGTGAGTCAACAGAAAACAAAACTCACACAAACAAAAGAAGATGAACTGATTCAAAGTTTATGATTATATTGTTTTTTGGTAAAGAAAAATAAGAGTGAAAAAGATAGTAATAAAATAACCTGCTCAGAAATCCCAAGACCAGTTCCTTCTTTCCAACCATGTTTCTTCAAAAGCTGCATAAGACCAATCAAAGGACAATGAATACAGGACCAAAGCAGAAGGAAGAAATAACACTGGAAACAATTTTTTTTTTATAAATAAAAACAATGGGGGTTTCTAAATATAAAACAATGGGGGAATACCTGAAAGCCTATATTGGAGGGATTGATGGCTATTGCTGAACAACTTGAAGCCACCATGCCTTTTCCCATACCTTCTTCCTCCTGAACCAAATGCACGGAGCTATTGTTCTGAAGATAAAAGAAAAAATATATATATTATAATACTCTGTCAGCTTTCCAAAGGGCTTTATATGAGTTATGTTCCCTTCTTACCCCTTTCCTTAAAATCCTTATTTTTTTCTATTTCTTCTGCTTAGACATACAAACAACTTCTAAGTTCTAACGATTAGAGGAATGAAATATTGTTACTGGGTCTGGGTTATGTTCTCCTCTTTCCTTTTCCTCAAAATTCTCTTCCACTTAGATCTACAAAGAAAGTATCACTTAGATCATTGATGCACATTTCAATATAGAATACACTCTCGTTCAGTTTACTTCTCCTACAATGGATTCAAAGACCAGAGTTTTAAATTACTTTAGCTCATGCCCTTCTTTAGGATTTTTCTTGTGCATAATTTGTTTATCAGAGTAAAATCAGGCTCTCATTTGCTAAAAAGGAAAAAGGATTAAGTTTAGGAACAAACAAGCCAAGGCAATGAGGCTAACCTTTTCATAGTTTCCACTAGAATCTGAATTTTCAGAAACCGGAAAGAATTTATTTCTTGATGTATCTGCTCCTAAGCCTCGTTTGTTGTCCTTCAAGTAAGCTTTAACAGGCTCTAGCCTACCCTGTTCACAAGAATGATGATAAACTTAAGCCATGCATTCCAAGCGGCTTGTGGAATCAAATCTGGTTAAAACACTCGGACAGAGAAATCTGAAAACCAATCAATCAATCAATCAGTATTAATTGTTGATTGTTGAGAGGTGGTATTGGCAACAATAATACAGCAATATTTCCATATTCTACTTCCAAGAAACAATAATAAAGCAAGTAGCAAATACAGTACCTGCTGGGAAGCACCAAGACCCGTTCCTTGTGTCCAGCCCTGCTTCTTCAAAAGCTGCATTCAAATTCTAACATATCACTTTCTTTATCAAATTAAACACAACAAAACAACTCGAATTCGAATTTCGCATAAACCCTACAGCTATAAGCCTATAAGTGAGGACCTGAAACCCAATATTGGAGGAGTCTATGCCTGAAGAAGATGAGCCCACCGTCACCGGCTCGTCCTCTCCCATGATGGCTTTTTCCCCAATTTTTCTTTCTTTTTTCTTAGTGATACGGTACGAGTACGGGTTCAGAATTCATAAATTGTTATCTTCGATCATAAACTGAATCGATGCAAATTATAATAATCGAAAATTTGAAGGAAAAAAATCAAGGTGGTTGGTGTGAGTGGTTCGGCACTCTCATTCCTTAAGAGCATCTCCAGCGCAGCCCACCAAACCAGGCAAAAGGCCCCCCAGGGCAAGGTTTGGCCCTCCAGCGCTGCAGCCTGCAGCCTAGTTTCGCATGGGTCCCACCAGCCCGGGCAAGCCCAAGGGCAGGTTTCGCCTGGGCTTCAGCCCGAGTTTTGTGATGTCAGCGCTGACGTCATGCTGACGTCAGCGAGCAAAAAAATATTTAAAAAATCCAAAAAAATTATTTAAAAAATCCAAAAGAATTTCAATTTTTTTTTTTAAATACCAAAAAATTATAGATGATTTCCCTATAAATACATAACAATTTTATTCACTTTCTAAATTGTTTATATTTTGTTGCATAATATTTTTTTCCTTTCTTGCCTTAGACTTGCCCTAGACTTAGCCCTCATGGGTGGAACCACAAATGGCAAGGCTGACACTATTCACGTGAATAGTGGCAGCCCTTGCTTGCCCTTGCCCTAGACTTAGCCCTTGTGGGTGGAGATGCTCTAAGAGAGGTCAGGGGTTCGATCCCTGCTCTTGTACGGAGTCACCACTTTGGCCAACACTTTACCCCTTACGGGCCGACCCGGTGTGAGTGGGGATTAGTCTGGGTTGTGGTTAAGGCTTAAAGGTGCCACCCATAGTTGGGGCCCATCCAAGACCACCTCATGGTTCAGAACAAAAAAAAAAAATTGAAGGAAAAAAAAAACAGAGAATAGTTTGCTTTTAAGGTGCTTTTGTTAACCCATTTTGATAATTTATAGGTTTCTTTCTAATTTTCTTTTAATGAAAAAGGAAAAACAATAATAAATAAAGAATAGTGATTATTTTTCTAAACAATTTTGGAAGGCTTCTTTTTTCATTTTTCATTTTTTTCTTTTCTTTTCCCTTGTTTGCCAAATTTAAATAACTATACATTTATCACATATATTTATGTAATAAGAGTGGGGAAAGTCATGAATTGGGAAACTTAAGATTTTTTTTTTGTCCCTAAAACACATCGCACAAGACCGCCTCCCCTTCTTCTCTGTCTCTGTCTCTTTTTTTTTTTTTTTGAGTATGTCTAAAATTTTCAAAAAGAAAAAAGAAGAAGAATAAGGTGGACTCAGTTTGGGTGATAATTTTTTTTTTCTATTTTAATTATTTAAAAGATATACAATTTTTTATATAATGACTTTTCCATTTTTAAAATACCCTTGAAAACAGAAAGACTAAAATACACTTAAAAATTGATGGAAAATTAAATGGTGTTAAAGTGCAATGACAAATTATGGATTTTGAAAAATTAAAATGACATTTCTCTTAAAAAAAAAAATATGATAAATTGAAATTGAGATATAAATTCATGTAACATTTCTAAAAAAATTCCTAAGTAAACATTCATAATACATTTAAAACATATTGAATCCTTGAAATTGAATCACCGCCTATAACATTCTAGAACCTATATAATTCACCAAATATTTATCTTAACTTCAAATATTCATCAATGAATATTAGGCACTCCTTGTAATATGTCCTTTAAATTTACAATTTGACATAAATAAATAATTCATTTATAAGTTTCTTCTAAGTTTAATTATAACTAAGCTCATTAATTGCCATAAAATGACCATATCAACAGTCACATAAAATGATCGTGACTAAGAGCTTATTAATTGTCATGAAATGACCACATCAATTGTTATATAAAATGATCGTGGTGAATTTTGTGTATCTAAATAACATTTCTGTTGTTTAAATAATTAGTATTGATAATCAGGGGCAGTAGACCAAAAACAAAATCCGGGTTATTGGCCTTTTGGCGAAGCCATTCGAAAAAAATAAATAAATTAAAAAGAGGGCAGATCCCGTCCGTCTGCTTGGTAATTGCGGAATTGGCATCACACTCACACGCTGCTTCTGTAATTTCGTAATTGTCGTCTCTCGTTTGGGTTTGTTGCTGAAAACCCTAAACAGAGAGAAGGAAGAGAAGAGATGGATTTGGACCAGTGGATCTCAAAGGTGAAGGAAGGACAGCATCTATTGGAGGACGAGCTTCAACTCCTATGCGAATACGTCCGTATCTTTATTTGTTTCTTTCCTTTATATCTAGGGTTTGTGTTAAATTCAAATTGGTTTTTATGATCTTTCTCCCCACTACTCGCCTTGTATGATAACTTTGGTTCCTCGAACAAATCGGAAATCCGATTTCCATATTGTTTTCTTAACATTCTGCGCTGTAAGATCAACAATTGAAACTTCCGAACTCAATTTTTTGTCCACAAATGATTTTTAACTGCCCTTTGGTTGAGCTTGACTAGCTAATAGACGGATATGCTTCAAGATTCAATACCCCTTTGTTTAAAATAGAAAGAAATAACCTTGTTCCCTACTTACTGCCTACATATGTTTAGGCTTGTCTTTGTTTATCACAGAGAGCATGCTACATTACATGACACAGTATTGAACGTTGTAAACTCTCTTAGGCTTGCTCACCCTAGTTCAAACAATCTTTGTTTCATTACATGTCTGTGACCTAAGTGGCAAAAAGTTTTATGATATTGTGATTATATGCTCAATTGCTGTCATTTTTTTTTTCAAAAATTAGCACATTGATTTAATGATATGGAATGTCTCATGCATAAGTATTAGTTATGGCTGCATCTGAGCACCCCAGGAATTTTAATTTGAACCCGTCAATTCTGACCTCCCTCAAACAGCACGCGAGTCTTGGTGGGCCCTGCGTAAATGTTATGAGAGGGAGGTAACCTATGATGGTCTCATGCAATAATTTTTGCACGCACACATTAAAGGTAGTTATTGAAAATTGTTTGGATCAGTATTATTCTTCAGTGTCGTATGGAATTCCTCTGGTGCTCTGTTTGCGGGGAAATATGAACATTCCCATGAATAATTTCAGGTTTTCCTTGTCAATAGGAGGTTTATTTTTTTATTGACCTTATTTATCATTGTAACTATTACAGGTAAAAGAGATTCTTATTGAGGAGTCCAATGTGCAACCTGTAAACAGTCCAGTCACTGTTTGTGGTGATATTCATGGCCAGTTCCACGACCTAATGAAACTTTTCCAGACTGGAGGCCATGTACCAGAGACGAATTACATATTCATGGTATGCTTTTATTTTTCATTATACAGTTGTGATTACATCTCTACACATCATCATTAAATACCATTTGCCTGTTTTCTTGGGGTGCTTAATATTCCTGAATTCTTGGCAGGGAGATTTTGTTGATCGAGGTTACAATAGCCTTGAAGTTTTCACTATCCTTTTGCTTCTTAAAGCGAGGTACATATACCGTAGAATTTTTGTTGGAAGATTGTGCGTATTTATATGGTCAATGGTTAACTGCAGTCATGCACATACTTTTCAAAACAGTACTTCAGTCACACCCACTTCTCTACTGTTTTGGTTCTTATAATTATGCACCATGTTAGTATGCCTTTAACATGCATTGCAGCCCTCTGATATGCAGTGTATGGTTCAGTTGTCATTTGGGTCAGTACTAAATTATCCATTTCAGTACGGTAGAGTCCTTGCTTATGGCATTTATGTTAGAAATTTTACTTGTGAAAAATTATTGTATATAACTATAGATAGATGCACACAAATATGTTGGTTCTTTTAGTTGGTAGAACAATTACAATGTGGAGTTGATAGTTAAGTGCATTGCTCCAAGGTACTTATGTTGAAATGTTAGTCTGTGTGGTTTTAATAGGCTATTGTATTTAAATGTTATTTTGACTGCCAAGTGTCATTAGCTGAGGAGGGAAGCTCTGGATATCATATAGACTAAGTTGTAGATATACAAAAATTGTGCCCATGTTGTAGACCTACACAAATTGTTGTATTTTTACCCTTTCTCTCTTTCTCTTTCTCTTTCTCACCCTCTCTCTCTCTCTGGTTATCATCATTGCTTAATGTGCTTATATCTGTTTTTTTTTTTCTTTTTTCCGATCACAACTTTCTTACTGGTTTAGTGGAGACAAATTTATGTAATTTGAATTTCCTGATAAAAAAGAATGTTGATGAGAAATTTTGCACGATATAGGAGATATAAACTCTTACCTGGCATCTCCATGGGCCTTGATATCTTCAGAGTTTAAGGATTGTTATTATTATTATTGTTATTTTGAAATTGGAAGCAGTTGTTTATTGCTGGCTTCTGTTTCTTTTCTGGCTCATTTTTTTTAGGTGCTGCTTTAGAGTTCTCTAGATCTTTGATTTAGTGGACATTTTGTCCATTGTTTTGTACTATTTATTTCTCTTTAATGTTAGTTTGTTACTAAAAGTTAAGTTTTTAGGGCATCTTGTCTATTGTTTTCTACTATTTCTGTTTCTATAAAATTATCTTGTTTACTACGAAAGACGGCTTTAATTAATATCTGCATCCGGCTATGGTGAAGTGAATGTGTGATTGCTGTTGTTCTTTTCTTCTCTTCCTTCAAGAAGCTAATTTTCCTTTTTTTCTTGATGGTGGCCTATAGGTATCCAGCTCATATTACCCTTTTGCGTGGTAATCATGAAAGCAGGCAACTTACCCAGGTAGACATTGTATAGAGTTTTGGAACAGACAATTATTAACGACTGCCTCAAATTGTATGTTAAATACTCAAATTCAAGCTGAGAGTTTCCATGCTATTTTCCTTTGCTCAAAGCCAGAAAGTACATTTCGTTCATGTGAGCATTATTTGGTTAAAGCTGTTGGTGGCTGAAATGAAGTCATAATTTTTTGTATTCAGAAGTACTTTAGGGCACTGTAACGGAATTGTTAGTTGAGCATGTGATGGAGGCCTAATATAATGGAGTCAATTGCAAGATTTGTTGAGTGCAAAAAATTGAGTTGATAGATGAATTACATCTGAATATATAACTCCCTGAGCTTATTTCAGAAAGCCTTTTGAAAATATATATCGAATTGGAGGGCGGTAAGATATTGTGGTGTTTATGGGAAGGGAGCAATGATAGGAACTTTAAGGATTAGGAGGATATGACCCAGCAGTAAAAAGTCCATTGTCCTTTCAACTTTTATATAGTGGCCTTAAATTTGGCTTTCTATTGAAGAGTTTTGGTTTCTACTTTTTACCTGCTAGTTCTTTCTACTGCTCCTCATTGCATAATGCATACCCCCTTTCCACGGTGAACTGGGAACGCTTCTTTTTTCTTAGTTAAATTCTTATTTTTTTGGGGTCAATATTTTGTAAAAAAGGTATTAAAAAAAAACAAGTATAAAGAAAAGGAATTAATACTTTTTGTGAAACCTTTCATATTCAGACATTCGGTTGGACCTTATTTTCATCACTCTATTCTGGAAGGCAGGAGCACTTCCCTCTGGTTTTGGCACCCCATGGTCTAAGTAGTGATGCTCACACCATTGATGATCATTAACCATAGCATCTCTTCTCAGACCAGAGGCTTAAATAAGGCTGGGGTTGTTGGCATTGATGGTGTGATGGATCTTAATCAATAGTTTTCATCCTTGTTAGGTATATGGCTTTTATGACGAATGCCAGAGGAAGTATGGAAATGCTAATGCATGGCGGTACTGTACAGATGTTTTCGACTATCTGACGCTATCAGCAATTATAGATGGAACTGTAAACCTCCTCTCTCCCTCTCTCTATGTATATGTCTGTGTGTTTGTGTTAGTATGTATCTCTTATCTGTGGTGTACATTTGATAGTGAATATGTTTATTTGGTTTGTCATCCCAGGTGCTATGTGTCCATGGTGGACTTTCTCCTGACATCCGAACAATTGATCAAGTAACCCCTTCTTGATATGCATTTAACTTGTTGATGTATGTTTGTATTTATGTTTTTCATGCATGTTGCTACAGCTGCAATTTTGCATTAGCCACTTTGCATGGAGGCTTCTTGCATGGATATGATTAACAGTTTCTTAGATTCTGTAATTTTGTGTGTTAATCAATTGAAAGAAGCACTTATCCCATGAATGTTAGTTTAGCTTTTCAAAGAAGGACTTATCCTATGGTCTCGTTCTCAAACAAGTTTAGCTTTTATTTTTTTTTAACTCAGTTCCCTCAATTTCAAGCACCTATACCCATGATATGATAATGCTACCATTTGCATGAATTATCTTTTTTTTTTGGGTTACAATCTGCCATTATAATTTGCCATTTCCAGCGTCATCATCACTGCACATGCTTTTTCCTGTAACAGATAAGGGTTATTGAGAGAAACTGTGAAATTCCACACGAGGGGCCATTTTGTGATCTCATGTGGAGTGATCCTGAAGATATTGAAACATGGGCAGTAAGTCCACGTGGAGCAGGTTGGCTTTTTGGATCCAGAGTCACTTCTGAGGTAATTTGATCTGATTTCAAATTAAATAGGATACATACCTGCTTGTTGTCTCTCTCTCTCTCTCTCTCTCTCTCTCTCTTACAAAAGCTTAAGAATTTTCTTTTTCTCCAGTTCAACCACATAAATAATCTTGATCTGGTTTGTCGGGCACACCAACTTGTTCAAGAAGGTCTTAAGTACATGTTTCAAGATAAAGGCCTTGTAACTGTGAGATTCTGAACTTTTTATATTAGTTTTTTGGGGTAAACATTGTAAAAGTTGGATTGAGCAGTTGGGTTCTTGAATTTTGCAGGTCTGGTCGGCACCAAATTACTGTTATCGGTGTGGGAATGTAGCTTCTATTTTGAGTTTTAACGACAATATGGTAAACATTATGAGCTCACCTATGCCTTGTGTTTTTTTCTTAATGATTAATGGAAAATTATCAGATGCAGCAAACTTGTACGATACATGCATATTTAACATTGATTATTTCTAGTTTAAGAGTGTAAAAACATGCCGTTGATGAGGCTTCATCTTCTTTCATTTGAAACAGGAGAGAGAGGTGAAGTTCTTCACTGAAACAGAGGAGAACAACCAGATGAGAGGACCCAGGACAGGAGTACCTTATTTCTTATGATCAGTTGGAGTGATTTGGCTGCGTCATTTGTATAATCATTTAAGTCTTGGTATAGGTGTTGAGAGTACTGTAACAGAGAAGCGCCTTGAATAGGTCGCGGCCTGGTGGATCTCCTTTAATACTTGGCTGTAGATCCTGCCTTGAGGTTGAGGTTTTCCATCTGGTCTGGCTGCTAGACAATTTGACATTCATGGGTTGTGTATTACTTACTAGGTTGCTAATTGTTTTTCAATTCTTAATCCATGCCCGTTACATTTCGTTATGTTTCTTATTGTCTGCCCTGTTTTGGAATACATGTCTACTGTATCATGCAGCAATGCCCAAATTACAAGCATTTTGTTATTTAATATTTATGCCTATTTCTAAGGGCACGCATTTCATTCAGAACCCACTTTTATTCGTGACCTGAATTTCTGAGGTTGAAGTAATTTTGTCTTTTTTTAATTTTATGAGGCAGCAAATTATAGCTCGTCGAAAAACGGATGAGTAATTTAATTACAAGTTTGTATTAAGTTACAAGATTTCAAGGATAAATGAACGATATGAATAACCGATAGAATGTCAAAATTGTTCAGCCATCTCTATTTTCAAAAATTGGTCCGGTGATACTGATTAGCAATCTAACTATACATAAATATACTACAAATGTGTTCGATGAAAACCCCGGCATAATGTTAAATAAATGCTAATAGATTTTTCTTTTGATAAATACATGTTAAAAAACGACAATACCATTTTTCGCTTTTCTAGTTGAGTTGAGAGTTGGCCCTCCCTCCCTCCCCACAAAATAAATTCTGGACTCATCCTCATATCATGTAAAGACACAAGATAAGGCAAATCAAGTATCATTCATACTTTGTACAGTACAGATGCCATTTTTGAGAATTGATGAGAGTTTGTGAAATCTTGGGTTGCATTGCAATAAATGGATTATAAAAATAAGCGATTAAATTAGTTTACCAAAAAAAAAAAAGGTTTAATTACTAGCCTATTATTAATTATTATATATAGCAAATATGAGAATGGTGATGAGAATGCAAAGTCACAGGGCCAGCAGGGGTGTGAGCTTTGTAAACCTTGTTCAGCAGCTTGTGTACCTTCCAGCAGTTGTATTGTCGTCAATTGGTGCCTCCGCATCCATCACCGTCCGAGCGTCATCGTCATCATCAGAAGCAGCAGCAGCATCAGTGAGGATGAGCCAGAGTGAGCCTCCCCCTCCCCCTCCGATGGCGAAGAAGGTGGAGCATAAGATGGAGATGTTCGGAGACGTGAGAGTGGACAACTACTATTGGCTTCGAGACGACTCTCGCTCCAACCCCGACGTCCTCTCTTACCTTCAACAAGAGAACGCTTACACCCAATTCTTCATGTCCGGTAGGTATCTACCTATCTATTCTTTCCATCTTATCCCTTCGTTTCTCGTCTCATTTGTCTTTGTTACTTGTATTCAACTATTAATTGTCTGTATTTCGACTTTGATTTGATCTTCATTCAACAGCCTTTAATCTATTACTTGCAAAACTTAACCAACACACACATGTTCTTTTAAATAAAATGCAATTATTTTGTTTTTTTTGTTTTTTTGGTTTTTGTTTGCTTGTTTCTAACTTTAGTAGCAAAGCAAAGCAATGTAATTTTATTTTTAATTTATTTATTTACATTAGGAACTAAGAAATTTGAAGATGAACTGTACGCTGAGATAAGGGGGAGGATCAAGGAGGATGATATATCTGCACCTGAACGAAAAGGCCCCTACTATTACTATCAAAGGACTTTGAAGGGTAAGGAATATGTTCAGCATTGTCGCCGCTTAATACCCAACTGTGAGGCTGAGGCCCCACTCTCTGTATACGATACAATGCCCACCGGACCTGATGCTCCTCCTGAGCATGTAATCTTGGATGAGAATATTAAGGCTCAACATCATGACTATTATAGCATTGCTGCTTTTGAGGTAACCAAAACAATGGTGTATATGATTATAACAGATATTGCAGTGGTTTCTTGTTTGATTATACAAAGTTCTCCACTTTGTTGTAATTGCTTTTCAGGTTAGTCCAAATAATAAATTGGTGGCATATGCAGAAGACACCAAAGGAAATGAAATTTATACAATTCATGTCATTGATGCTGAGACAGGTGCTCCTGTGGGACTGCCTCTAGTTGATGCAACATCCTATCTTGAATGGGCTGGTGATGAGGCTTTAGTTTATATTACAATGGATGAAACTCTCCGGCCTGACAAGGTTTGATTCTACTGCTTCAAGCCCTCTGCTTCTCATGTCACGGCATGTTTCACACACCCACTTAGCCTGCATGTTCAATTCTTTGTGCAATTAATTTTTGAGTTGTCATTATTCGAGGACTGGAGAGCATTATAAGATATTTAGCTATCTTATTGGTGTTGAAGTTCTTCATGTTTAGGTAAATATTAGAATTTAGCAACTTACCAGTGGTTCTGTTACCGCGCTTCCCCCCATTTGTTTACATCCTATGTATGAGGCTCTCCTGTGTTTATTTTCGTTGACTATTAGATATTGTGCTCAATGACCACAGTCCCATGCTTTTACGTGAGAATACAAATGATTACATAATTTTTCTTGAGAACTGGTGACAATGCCTCATTAGGATGCATCCTCCTATATTTCTGTACAAGTCCTTTCTGTTTTCTTGCTGGTTTGTCTTGTTGTAGTGAGCCAAGAGGTCATGCCTTACCCCTGTCTGGCTCACTCACACAGAAGAGAACTATTACATGCATTCTGTTCGATCGTTTACTTTTATGAGTGAAGTGCTGCTTAATCCTTTTTGTTTAGCTTATAGCGTGTTTTCTTTTTAATAGGCATGGTTACATAAGTTGGGAACAGAACAGTCAAGTGACTCGTGCCTCTATCATGAAAAGGATGATATGTTTTCTCTTGACCTTCAAGCTTCTGAGAGCAAAAAATTCTTATTTGTTGGATCTGAAAGTAAAATTACAAGATTCAACTTCTACCTTGATATTGCAAAGCTTGAAGATGGGCTTGTGGTTCTGACACCTCGTGTAAATGGCATTGATACATTTGTTAGTCATCGAGGAAATCATTTTTTTATAAAGAGGAGAAGCGACAAATGTTTTAATTCTGAAGTAATTGCTTGTCCACTGGAAAATACATCTGAAACTACTGTTCTTCTTCCACACAGGGAAAGGTAATCATCAAATTTGGTAGTCGCATCCTCATTCATGACCTTAAAATGTTCATGAATTGACTTGTCATTTTTAAAAAATTTAAGAACTATGAAAATTATGTCGTATGTCCTAGTTTTGGCATTATCAGCTTAAGTGTAAATTGAATGTGATATGCATGATTGAAAACATTTTATATCTAAATGTGATTTGCAGTACATTTTCTAGAAATGAAACTGAACTTTTTTCTGGAGCCTTTCTCTAACTATATTCCTTTGATGTGCTCTTTTAACTGTAAATAAGAGAGATATAACAATGGACGGAGTTAGATGTGTTGTTCAGTCCTCCATGCCATATTGTCCAATTGCTGCTTATGCATTTGCATATTCATTCTAGAATTTTTCTCAGGGCGTGAAAAATCTTTGGCAATTTTTTGACCTTCACTATTTTTAACAGGCACATTTTCTTTCTTATTTTAAGCATACTAATTAGAATTTTCTTCAGTGTAAAAATTCAGGATATACAACTTTTTAGTGATCACCTTGTTGTATATGAGCGTGAAGAGGGTCTACCAAAAGTCACTATCTATCACCTTCCAGATGTTGGACAACCGCTTAAAAGCCTTCACGGTGGTCAAGCTGTTAATTTTTTGGATCCCGCATACTCTGTGGATCAATCAGAATCAGAATTTTCTTCCGGAATTTTAAGATTTTCTTATAGCTCAATGAAAACGCCTCCGTCTGTATATGATTATGATATGAAGACAGGCATTTCTGTTTTGAAGAAGATCGAAACAGTAAGTCATTTTTATCTGTATATGATTATGATATGAAGACAGGCATTTCTGTTTTGAAGAAGATCGAAACAGTAAGTCATTTTTATTGGCATTTCAAAGCTTGCTATTGTGTCTTATTTAACTCTCTTTATAGGAATGTTATTGGTTCAACTTGCAACAGTAATGAATTTATACTTTATTTTATTTTGGAAATTAAGATTTTGTTTATTACCTTTAATATATATACCTGGCCTCAGGGCTCCTTTGTGTGTGTATGTGTGTGTAAATGTGTTTTTGCGTGTGCATGAGTGTATGTGTTGTGTGAAAATGTTACCTTCTTTAATGGTCATATCTGGTTACTAATGCGAAGTTTATTGTAGGTCTAGGGAGAATGCTGGTTTTGCATGACATGATCATAATATTCACTCATATTATCTCGTTCTTATATTTTTGTTCTCGTTCATTTTCGAATACTCCATATACTGTTATGAATATATACCAACCAAGAAATTGTAGTTTGTATAAGGAAGCTAAGAGAAAGAACATAAGTTGGTTCAGTACGGTCATTGTTCAAAATCGTATAAACTTAACACAACATAGTTTTTTTTTTTTTTTCTGAAAAAAGAAGGGTATGCAATTGGTTTGCTTATTAGTTCGATGGTGTGAGATTTTGTGGGGGAAATAGCAATGAAGTTTCAACCGCAGGAAGTTTATTTACTGTGTAGAAGGACTAATTTGGTTTTCAAAGTTAAATATTTAAAGTGGAACCTTTACGCATTTTCATTTCCTTTTCATATACAGTAGTCACTTCTGTATTGATTACGTTATTGGAAAATGCTTTACACTTCACTTTTTCCCCAATTTTGTCTGCTTTGTTTTTTGTCCCTCCAAGTGTCTTGCATGGAATGAGATCCATGATATCACAGAACCTCGTACATGAGAGAGTCGGCAAAAAAGTTGGGTTGTATGGCATCTTCCTGAGTTATTTGATGCCTGGTCAAGTGTTGCCTTTTCTTACTGTCAAATTAGACACAAATTTCAATATTGTAATTCAGAAGCATTGTTGTCAATTTTGTTTCTCAGGTTTTGGGAGGTTTTGAAGCATCAAATTATGTTACTGAAAGGAAATGGGCTAGTGCTCCAGATGGTACTCAGATTCCAATATCAATTGTTTACAGGAAGGATCTCATAAAACTTGATGGATCGGATCCATTGCTACTCTATGGCTATGGCTCCTATGAGGTAACAAAAGAATTCATAGATTAAACTAGGCACGAGTGATATATTTATATTTTTTTGTTTTTACTGCAAACATTATATTCCAAATGTGACTACATTGAGAAGCATGTCTTGTAAAAAATTTGGGAGATGTTTCAAAATACCCCTTGAGAACTTCTAATTGGTCAATTAACCAAAGTACAGCCCTGAAATCTGAAGCCCTTAAAGATATGTAACCAGAGCCATCTTTGTGATTGCAGTCATTCCCTGCGTTATAGTACTAGAGATTAGGCACAAAGATAAGTTTCTGAATTTTATATGTAACTGCTCTAGTCTTCCTTTTCGGCAACATTAAAGCCATACACCTCGGGAGAATCAGGAGTCGAGAGATGAGTCCTGATTCCCATGGCTTTTTGTCTGCCTTTTTTAATATATGAACATCAGATGTCTTCTTAAGAAGCTTACAAGTTTTCTTGTTATAGCCTTATAGCATCCGTTTGGATTAGTAATTAGCATGTAAAATTTTGTCTCTGGCCTATGATGCCTAATTCTGATCACAGTTCAGTAATTCTTGTGCAAATACGTTGAAGTTTGTCAGTGGTCCTTTTGGCGTCTTTCTTCTACAGGTTTGTGAAAATCTTTAGAATCCTAATTTCTTGGTCAGAAAAAGCGTTAAAATCCTACTTAAAGCCAACATCTTGGGAGAAGGTGCTTTTTAAGGTTTTTGTTTCTGTGTTTCTGATGGATTTCTTGTCTACCCTGTTTTATAACTTATTTTTTCAGTAAGATTATTGTTTCTTACAAAAACAAAATAAAGATCCCAAGTAAAGCCACATATTATGCTTTTCAGAACCTTGAACTTCTTAATGTCGGGTTACTCTTCTGGCTTTGCTCTAATCACTCTGGTGTAACAACTTGCTGACTTTTGTCAAGATAGACTTTAGTCGAGCACATGTAAAATGCTGCAGGAGGCAATATCAAGCCATTGGGATTTTTTTTTCTTCACTTGTATTCATTTCTCTCTCAATGACTCAGAGCCTTATCTTGTCAACAGGTCTGCATAGATCCCAGTTTTAAAGCTTCAAGGCTGTCTTTGCTTAATCATGGTTTTATTTATGCTATAGCTCACATTCGTGGGGGTGGTGAAATGGGGAGGCAGTGGTATGAGAATGGAAAGTTACTAAAGAAGAAGAATACTTTTACCGATTTTATTGCTTGTGCTGAGTATTTGATAGAAAAGAAGTACTGTTCAAAAGCAAGATTATGCATTGATGGAAGGAGTGCAGGTGGACTGCTTATTGGTGCTGTTCTTAATATGAGGCCTGATTTGTTCAAGGCTGCTGTTGCTGGAGTGCCCTTTGTTGATGTTCTGACGACAATGCTTGATCCAACTATCCCTCTCACAACTTCAGAGTGGGAGGTATTTTTCTTTTCCTCACGAGATTCTTACGTTGAAGCATTAACAAGATGAAAGAAATGAAGAAGAAATTCCCTAGTAAAATTGTTTGTTATGAATGCAGAAATACTCTTGCTATGTGTATAATTAGTGAATTTTCTTGGATGACGTAGCTTGCATGTGATGAACATCTAGTTTTATGGACCATCACTTGGGCATTGTTAACTTAATCTCCTTAGAGATTTAATGATTAACTGGGGTGGATAATAATATAATGATCACATCATTTTAAACATCACATAAATGCAACACCAGTTAATAGATATTGTCATCAAATG